TGAGATCATGACCTGAGCCAAAGGCAGACGCCTAACCAACTGAGCCACCCAGGCGCCCCAGAATTGACTTTAAAAAGTTAATTTAAATATAAAGAATGAAACTGTGAAAGTACTAAAAGAAAACCCAGGTAAATCCTGTTTAACCTTAGAGTGAAGAAAGCCTTTTTAACCATAACTTAAAAGTCTAGATCTCTTTGAAAATTAATAGATTTGGTTGCAGAGCAATAAGACATTTGCAGGGGGTGAGGAACATGAGCAAAGTCTTAAAACAAAGAATTGGGGGGTGGTATTTACACCTCCACTCCCAGGTGACAGACCAGCCGTCATCATACGTAAAGAGCTCCAAGAAATCAGAAACAACACTGATGCTCCAGCAGAGCAGGGTCAGAAGATGGGCCTGAACTAGCAAGTGCCAGAAAGAGAAATACAGACGACGCTCGTTTACACGCAGCGGAGATGCTCGGTGCCCTCCGTGATGAGGGATGTGCGCGGCCGGGTGGCCCTGAGTCTGGGTTTTCACTTCTCAGATGGGCAAAGACTCGGGTGTCTTGCGGCCGGCTGTGCTGCTCAGACACGAGGTGTCAGGGCTGCGGATGGACTTGTCCTGTGATGGGGCCGCGTTGCTGACAGAAGTTACGGCTTTGCCCGCTGGGTCTGAGCAAGCCAGGCTCTCCTCTTGACGGACGGCTGCACGTCCACGGTGAAGAGAGGGTGCTGTCTGCGTGAAGGCTGCCTTACACGGGGGAGCGTCCTCTCATCTGAGAAGAGGAGGGCTCAGTCTCTGTTCATATTTCTTATGTTTGCGTGAGGAAGGGTCGGGAGAATCAGTAAGAAACGAACAGAGCACTCGTAGCGGTGGAGGGAGGCTTTCCTCGCATGCCGTGTCACGTTTCCATTCTATATCCAGACGCCAGTCTTCCGTGTTCAAGTGCCATCGTCCCGACTCCGCAGCCCCTGCAGGGACAGAGGAGGGAAGCTGCCTTCTCCAGCCATGCCTTTCTGTAACATTTTGGCTTTTTGAACCTTTAAATATATTTACAGATTTTGGAACCTATACGAAAAAGTAGATTGAAGGCATAAAAGCATCCGCACGCGCCAGTGATTTTCCCATTGATCCTGGTTATTGACAACAGTCCGTGTTTTCATTCCAGAGTTTACCTTTGACACGAGAGCGCCTGATGCGAGAATTTTTTTTAAGTTCATTTATTGTTCTAAGTCATCTTTGCACCCAACGTGGGGTTTGAACTCACGACCCCAAGATCAAGAGTCCTAGGCTTCGACTGCGCCGGCTAGGCACCCTGTGTATTTAAGCATCTTCTGCACTTGGCCATGGGAAGCCCGTCACACCAGGGTCCGAGGCGTGCAGAGGGACGTGAACGTGTGCCGTGAACTTGCTGTGGAATGTGAGGGGCTGTGAGCTCTCGTGACAGTGAGCAGAAATCCTGCCCTGGTCTCATTTTCCCACGCACCGCTGGTCATAGGACCTCGCACCGTTTCTAAAACGGGGTGTTTGTGCATCCTGACACCATCCCGCTGTCTCCACGGGCACCCATTGCGCTGGGAATGGCTGCCCCACGGCCCACTCTGGGTCTTCCTTTTCTCTCATCGAGATCCGACCTCTGGGACCCACACGGACCGGAAGCGGGGCTCTCCCACCATGTCAGTTTCTGCAAGTTCACGGCAGGTCGCAAGCAGCCGCGCCTACCGGTGCTCAGGACCGTCCGCCGACCTCCCGGCCGCCCCGTAACAGACCTTTATCTGCGGGGAAGAGCAGGAAGCATGCCCTGCCAGGCCACTCCCCTTGCCTCACCCCTGCCAGGCCACTCCCCTTGCCTCACCCCTGCCAGGCCACTCCCCTTGCCTCACCCCTGCCAGGCCACTCCCCTTGCCCGCCTCGTGGACTCAGCCTCACGGACGCTGCCCCTCCTGCTCTCTCTCCGCGCACCCCGTCGTCGGCCGGCGTCACAGGGAACCGAGTGCTCTCTCGTCTGCTTGCTCTGCTTCCTTCCTCACCTCCCCATCCCTCATTTTAAAAGCGCAATTCCCTGAAATCCGGAGGAGAGCAGAGCTGTAGTGAGAACTGAAAGCCATTGGAGGTGGTTACGTGTGTGCTGGGACAGGGGCCTGTTCAGGCAAAACCACTTGGCGTTCAGGCCCTTGCCTCTCCTCCTGCTGCTGGGTCTGGGGGAACGCACCAGCTTCGGGAGCTCCTTGGCTGCCACGGCCCCCGAGGCTCCATGGGAGGCTTTCCACCCAGTCCGTGGGAAGTGTGTGTCTGTGCGTGGCATTTCTCTGTCTTCGTAGTCAAAAGGCCTCGTGTCCCTCCTTCTGATGAGGCGGTTGGCCAGCGTATGTGTGTCCCGGGCCCCTGCCTGCAGGGGATAGAGGGTGCGGGAGGGACAGCTGAGCTGGAGAAAGTCTGAGCAAGTTCTCAGCCGGTTGGTAAGTGAGTCTGGCTGAGGCCTGGGAGGGCAGGAGGCCCGCGACGAGGTGGCTCTTGGGGGTCCCTCCTGGTGCGACCCCTCATCAGCGCAGGCTCCGCACCAAAGGCACTCAGACGCCCACACCCTGGTTCAGACCGAGTGGGGTGTGAATTAGTGGCCCCGTGTTCCCCTCTGGTGAGGCTCGCTGCACACGTGTCGGCCTTGATCCAACTTGTCCAACCTCTGGTTTAAAACCAAAGAGGAGTCTTTGCTCTGAGAATCGGGCAGCCGGCCGCTGTTCCCAGGGGCTTCTGTGCTGCCCTCTCCCGGTCCCCTCGGACGGCGACACTGCAGGGTGGACAGCGTGTTGATGCCTTCTTAGATCTTCCGTCACCACCTTCGTTCAGAGCAGGGCGTCCCTGTGGGATCACTTGGAAACTCACGCTTAATCGGCTTCCTGGCTCTTGGGGAATCAGCCGCTGGCCTGACCCCTGGTGCCCAGGCTTCCTGACCAGCACCCACGCCCACCTGCTCAGCTCCCACTCACACGGCCGGTGGGAGGCTGCCCTGCCGGTGTCCTGGTGCAAGGAGGAAACCCCAGATGATGAGAGCCCCCGAGAAGCAGGTGGTGTGGGAGAGCTGTCCTCTGTGGTGCAGAACACCCTCCTCCCCGTCTGCGGCGTCGGGCTCCCACCCCACGTGAGCGTGACTTGTGACCTGAAGGTCAGCTTGGCTCACGCTCTGCTCCTGGGTGTGTGTGTGCGTGCGAGCTTCTCCTGACGGCCCCACGTGTGTCTCAGAGGTGCCTCAGACGCACCGGCCCCACATAGAACCCTCCTTCTCTGAGGGCCTGCACCCGGCACCCCAGCTCTTTAGTGATCTTGCCAAGCAGTTGGGTCACCCACCCCTCCTGCCCAGATCCCACGAGAATCGTCTCCGTCTCCAGGGTCATCCCCACGCCCTCTGCGCCTGCTGCACCTGCTGCCCCCTTTCAGTCCGGCTCACCATCCGCCGCCATCCTGCAGACCCACTGCCATGACCCTCCCCGGTGCCAGCCCCTGCTGGCCACCTCGGGGCCTCCACGCAGCATCGGAAGCTCTGTGCCTTCTGAGTCCCGCATCCCACAGGATAGGCTCGCCTTCCCCTCCGTCCCGACTCTGCAGGACATCCCACCGTCCTTCAGCACAGGCACTGAGCCGCCGTGTCCCCCAGGTCTCCTTGCCGTGCCATCACGCACACACAGCTGTCTCCTCCAGAGACCGTGAGCAGGGTGTGTGTGGGTCGTGTCTCTGAGTCCAGGACCGAGCCAGTGCCTAGCACCAGCGGGTCCTTGAATGAGAGCTCAGCTCACAAACCCACAGTTGTGCAGGTGTGTCCCAGTGTGTGCCGGTGTGTGCACATACGTGCAGGTGTGGGCCGGTGTGTGCTGGTACACGCAGGTGTGTGCCAGTCCATGTAGGTGTGTGTGCACGTATGTGCAGGTGTGTCCCAGTGCATGTAGGTATATGCACAAACATGCAGGTGTGCAGGTGTGTGCTGGTACATGCTGGTGTGTGCAGGTGTGTGCCGGTGCATGCAGATGTGCGCACGTATGTGTAGATGTGCAGGTGTGTGCACAAACATGCAGATGTGCGCA